TTCCCCCTTTGGAAGCACCTCCACGGTAGGACCTTGTCCCTGGGCATCCAAGGCGGTAAATTTGGGCATGGTCATCTGGGGTATCTTCACTTTTCCCAGGCCACCTTGGGTGTCCAGGCCCGGAGTTAGCTCCATGCTGGCTCCTTGGATATCTGCTCTGGGGACTTCCAGGGCTGGAGATGGGATCTTCACAGCCCCTTCCAGCCCCACGTCCTGGGGCTTGGTGACTTTAACCCCTTCCACCCCAGGAGAGGACACTTGGGCACCCGCCATCCGGACAGAGGCTGCAGGAGCATCCAGGGATAGAGTTGGCCCCTTGGGCCCGGCAATGTCCACCTCTCCTTGAGCCTCCATGGAAGGATCCGCAAGGGGGAACCCAAATTTGGGCATTTTCATGGCAGGAATCTTGATTTTTCCCACCTCGCTGTCTGGGCTGCCTACGGGCGGTAGGGAAACATCAACTCCGGGGGCTTTGATATCTCCCCACACGTTGGGACCAGCAAAACCCACTTGAGGCCACTTTCCTCCCGGCTCTCCTTGGATGTCCATGCCGGAAACGTGCATTTTGCCATCCACTTTGGGGCCTTTCACGTGAAAATCACCATTCGGATGAGCCTCCGGGCCCTGGAAGCCCTCACCGGAAACGTGAAATCCCGGCACCTCCATCGTAACCGTTTTTCCTATTTCCCCGCCTGGAACGTGGATTTCCGGACTCCTCACGTGGACGCCCGGGCCTTGCATTCCCGAAATCCCGGGTCTTCCCACCTGGGCCTTTCCCATGTGGACGTCCAGCTTCTTGGATGCCGACTCAACCGTTGGGCCGGGAGCGGCCCCTCCGATGGCCACGCTCAAGTCCGTCGTCTGGGTGACCCTCATCCCAGTTTTCCCAGGCTCCACGTGGACGAATTCCTGTTGGGGCGGCCCCGTTTTCCCGTCGGCTCCTTCGCGGCCGCTCACGTCGACCGTGTAGGCCGTGACCTTCCTGGTGACCGTGATGGTCCTGCTCTGCGTTCCGCCCGCGTCCGCGTCCGTCGCGTCGTCCGACTTGAGCCGGGGCTTGATCTTGGTGGTGTAGATCCGCCTGTACTCCTCGTCATCCCCGCTCTGGAAGGCAACAAGGGCCGGTTAGCCCTTTCCCGGTGGGAATTCCGCACCCGGAAGCGGGAGGGATGCTCGGATGGAGCTTGGGATCGGGTCATGGCAGTGGGGATGGTCAGTTGCCCATGGTGGGCGAGCTGTAGGGATGGGACTGGCCCTTGGTGTCACCTCAGGGCTAGGACCGTCCCCATAGGGACTGGACCATCCCCATAGGGACTGGACTGTAGGCCCAGGGTCACCGTCACCATAGGACCAAGGTTGTCCCCAGTGTCACCATAGGGTGAGGACCAAGCTCTTCCCCAATGTCCTTGATGGCACCATGGGGTTAGGATCAAGCTTGTCCCCAGTGCCACCATAGGAGGAGGACCTTGATGTCCCCATTGAGTTAGGATCAAGTGCATCCCCAGTGTCCCCATAGGGTAACATCAAGTGCATCCCCAGTGTCACCATAGGGGGAGGACCAAGCTCTTCCTTAATGTCATCGTACGGTGACATCATGTGTGTCCCCAGTGTCACCACAGGGTGACATCAAGGTCCTCCCCAGTGTCCCCATACGGTGACATCACCCACATCCCCACTGTCACCATAGGGTGCCATCACACACATCCCGAGTGTCCCCATAGGGTGACATCATGTGCGTCCCCAGTGTCCCCATAGGGTTAGGATCTCACTTATCCACAGTGTCCCCATAGGATGACATCTCCAGTGTCCCCATAGGGTGACATCAAGGTCCTCCCCACTGTCCCCATAGGGTGCCATCCCACGTGTCCCCATAGGGTGACATCAAGGTCCTCCCCACTGTCCCCATAGGGTCCCATCACGCACATCCCCAGTGTCCCCATAGGGTGCCATCACGCACGTCCCCAGTGTCCCCATAGGGTTAGGATCTCACTTATCCACAGTGTCCCCATAGGGTGCCATCCTGCGCATCCCCAGTGTCCCCATAGGTTGACATCCCCAGTGCCCCATAGGGTTAGGATCTCACTTATCCACAGTGTCCCCATAGGGTGACATCTCCAATGTCCCCATAGGGTGACATCAAGGGCCTCCCCACTGTCCCCACAGGGTGCCACCATGTGCATCCCCAGTGTCCCCATAGGGTGACATCCCCAGTGTCCCCATAGGGTTAGGATCTCACTTATCCCCAGTGTCCCCATAGGATGACATCTCCAATGTCCCCATAGGGTGACATCAAGGGCCTCCCCACTGTCCCCATAGGGTGCCATC